TCATGTTATTTTCTTGTGTTTTTAATTTTACATGTTAAATTTTTAAGCATCTTTAAATAAACTTAGATGATTTTTATATTCTTCAAGTTTCTGATGCTGCAAGTTTTTTATTTATGATATTTTTTATTTCTTCGTAATCATAAATTACTGTTCACCTTATTTTCAAAATGTCACGTTATATCTCCTTGTAGGACTTGTGCTGTGAAGTACACTGAATAGATGATCCTCAAAGTATTTATTTCTCTAGTATGAGCTGCCTCAGAGGTATTACAGCTTTAGACCATCTTTTGTTAGCCTTTTAATTAAAGGATACCAAAGTGTATAAGTAATAAACAGTTGAACAACAAAACCAAGCATTGCAATTAGCTAAGGGTTCTGCCTGTCAAGTTGGATTGAAATCATGAGTAGACTAAGTGTAGCTATTTTAGTGTGCAGCACTCTGAAATTTGAATGTCAACAGCTATCAGTTCTTTGGGTTGGCAGCTTTTCTTTCTATGTGGAGATAGCAGCTTGTGACTAACCGTAAGTACAAGCCGTCTTTGGTGACACCCACTTTTGGTGTTAAAGGTCAGGTTACTTTCTTTGAAGTACAAATCATGAACAGGAAAAAATGTATCACTTCAAAGTAGCTCTATTTGGGATTTATGCTGCGGTACAAGGAAGAATGATATACGGAATGCTGTAATGAAGGTATAGTTAGGTTCCACATAGAGGGAAACAAAAGGTGCTTACACATTAAAGGTGTTGGGCTTTCTATTTAGACAGAAAGTCTGAACACTTTGTGTATGGGAGATTCTCCAGGACTGAGGATCCTCCAGACAGGCTGTGGGGTGAAGTCTTCTTGCACAGATTCATTACTTGAACTTTCCTCAGCTCAAAGTAACGTGGGGAGTGTACTGGGAGCATCTGACGCACCCATGAATGGCTACAAGACATTTGGGACAGCAGCCACAGATCAAAATGAAAGTCCCTCTTGTGTTGGTCCTTAAAATTCTCTTACATTATCGTAACACAACCTGGTGGCTACAAATTATCAAGGAAGATAAGTTTTTTTTAATCTGTGATTAGGGGAAGAGGAAATTAAAAAAAAAAAAAAACCTGTGCCAAGGTGTAAATTATTCCCAATTTTATATTTTTAAGGAGGATTTTTTTGGTGAGGAGAATGAGTACCACCTATAGTGTTCCCCTTGAAAAGCTTTATTAGAGAAATGGTGTGAACTCTAAAAGGAGCACTCAGTTTTCATTTCCTTATTATTGAAAACTGGTTATTCCCTATTCTAGCTTATTATCCCTATTATTAAAATTTGCATTTTTTTATCTAAGAGTAATAGCTATGTGTGTTCTCTGTATTCCAAAACAAAATATATTTCTTTCAGTCTCAAAGGTTGTGGTAGTATTTTGTTATAGTAGAATTCCCCTTTTTTTTCTATAGACTACATGTTTCACCTCTAGTTATTTTTTTTTTCAGAGTTAGTGTGGGTTTCAGAATGGAGTGTCTATTTCATTGGTTTTAGAATCTGCTTGGGGATTGCTGGGACAAACTCCTGGGTGTTGTGTGGGACACTGAAGCAGGACTGTGGGGTCTGTGTCCATGTCCTCACCCTTCCTCTCTGTTACCCTGAACTGCTTCCCCTTTTATTGTTAAAATATATATCCATGTTTATATTGACTATTTGTAATAGCTAAAACTGGGAAACGGGCCAATTGCCTATCATCTGGAACTGGATAAAGAAGATTTTTTTAAAATGAAATACCACTCAGCCAGAGAGAACGAGAAACATTCATAGCTAAATGGATGCACAGAGAAATTTGTAGCTAAATGGGTGCACATTAAATCCACACTCTTAAGTGAAATAAATAGGACCCACATGTGGAATACTGAATAGTTTCTCTGGTGTGAAAAACTAAAAGTGTAAAAAAGGATCAAAATGTATGATTGATAATTTGAAAGAGAAAGGACAGGTCCGAACGGGAAGGGAAAGGGGGATGGGTTGGGGAAATGAAAGAAGGGAATGGAATTCATATGAGAAAATGGAAACAAATCTTTGTATATAAGGAAGGGTGGACAGCTTGAAGGGACTGCAGGGAAATAGGGAAAAAATAAGAACCAAGAAAGATTATGCAAAGGTACAAATTTCCATTAATGAATGTCATTATATACCTGAAATGTACCAATAAACTTAACGAAAAAAATGACCGTAGAAAATTTTTAAATTTATCTATTTCATATTCTACACAAGCATTTATGATATGCATGTGTTAAATTAACTTTAATCAATTTCCTTAAGTTGACTGAAAGGAGATAATGAAAAGTGTATTATTTTTTAAATAATACAGAATGGGATTTTTTAGGGAGAGGGGTTTACTTGAGACCAGGTTTGACTATGTAGCTCAGTCTGGCCTTGAACTCACAGCAATCGCCTTGCCTCAGCCTCCAGAGTCTTGGTGTTACAGGCATGTGCCACCACACCTCACTGAATGAAATGGGATTTAAAAAGTAAGCAATATATATCTTAAGATTTTCATGTAATTTTTTTAATATCACCTCCCTCCCTGTGTAGGTATGTATTATAGGCATTTGTATGTGTGTATAGGCAAAAAATATATATACGCATTTATATGAAGCCCAATTGCTAATTACTTTAATTTTTTTTAAATCTCAACTTTGAACAAAAATTAATCTTGTTTATCTTTCTGAACAGCCCCATTTGTATTCCATTTAACAAAGTTTTAACTTCTAAAAGTAGCTTTTTTTAATGCCCTAAATTTTTTTCTTCTTTGGATAAAACATGCAGTGTTCAGACTCATCATGTGAAAAGTCTAACCATGACCATGCGTCATGCTTGCATTTTTTATCAGTGGTCTTTTGCTCATTGGCTCTTCCTTACAGAGTTGAAGCTACAAGTTGGTGCAGAACCCAAATATGCTTTCATTTAAGCATAAAAGGTCCTTACCATTTACTGTTTGGAAAATCCATTCATTTACCTTGTGCTTAATGGTCCCTAGTTTAATTCACTCATATTATGCTCTCCATTTATTTGTTATCTTATAAGATTACTCTGAAGTGAGCTGCTGTTTAAAGTTCACCTGATAATTTTCAGGCTCATAATTGTTATTCAATTATACTTTTAATTATTTGGTGTCAATTTAGGATATTACTTACCAATGGGTCATTAGGAAGAACAACCTTATCAAAACATATTTTTATTTATAGCAAGATATTCCTTATTTATAGTTTATTACATGGTTACCTGAGGAGTTTCAATCAAGGAATGAATTCTAAACATGGTTGGAATATGATAGCAACCACACAGATTAAGTTCAGTATCTTCAGTGATATGAGACATGGCCAGTACGCTTGGAGATAGTTCGTGTCCTCCCCACACAGCTGCTAGCCAGTTGTCCAACCTTAATGTACTCAGCATTACAAATAACCTTCTACTTTATTTGGGCATGCAATGACTGCTTTTGTTACATATGTCTGTTAGGTTTCTTAGACTTGTTTTTCTGCTTTTTTTCCCAGTCTAATCTACTTCATGCCAACAAGCCAGACCTCACTCATCTACTTCATACCCTGATCTGCTCAGAATGCTAGTTTTACTTTGGCATCCATATCATAAAGAACAACATAAAAAAGAAACTCATGTCTTAAATATTATTAAAATGTACAAAATATGACAGCTTCATGCACCCTTCATAGGTATTCATTTATTATTTGTCAAATATAAATGGATTCTCACAAAGTTTAAATTTTGTTCAATATCCAGAGTCTACTTATAAACTAAATAAAAAACTCAGAAGTGTTCTCTCTTGTACTAATTTGAATGTGTTCTTTGGCAGATTTTAAAATTTTTCAAAGATAAATGAAATAGACTGGGGATTTAGCTCCGTGGCATCTCACCTGCCTTGCAGGCACAAGGTCCTGAGTTCAATCCCTGGCACTGCAACAAAACAAACAAAACAAAACAAAAAAGAGAAATAAAGTGTCATATAAAATTTTAAAGTTTTATACATTATTACTTTTCATAATATTGTGATATTTTGCTTAGAAATAATTCAAAATATGTTAAATTTGTAGTTGTCCCTATGATCTATTTTTCAGTGAGAACCTCCATGTTTTGACTTTTTGCAGTTAACTGTGAAAGAATTACTTTAAGAATTTAAGTCTACTTATATTTTTATGGTCACTCTTGCTGATATGTTAAAATGTGCTGTTTTGAAAATAAAGATGGCCCTTGTAGGACCTTTCTTTGAAGATGCATTTATTTTCAATTTATTGTGTATCAGATAAATTTGTTTAGCATTGGATCTCAAAGTTAAGTAAATTCTCAATGAAGATTTAAATTAAAGGATATGGGATTTATATAAAGAGTAACAGGATATACTCTTTTAATTATGAATCAACTTTTCATTACAGAAGTGTGTAACAGATGTTTCACTTTCCCTGTACAGAAACACTATTTTCTTTATTCCTGAGAGTGGTATAAGGGTGAATATACAAAATAAATGTTTGTACTCCAATCAATAGATTCATAGTAATTAAAATAATAACATCTGTCCTTCTGTTTCTGTTCCATACTCCTGTAGAGAAGATAACCCACTCTCAGGTGGGAAAATTAGATAAATTTCAAATGAGATCAAATGTCCCTTGTTTTAAGTAAGTGTAGTTATTTTGTTTTCTAATGAATATGTTACATAAAGTGCAAAAGTCAAGGACAACACAGATCAGTACCTATTCAAAATCAAAATATGTACAGGCAACAAAGTCAAAATATAGAAAATCACTACCTTGAAGTCTCCCTCATGAATTTTTCCAGTCACTCACACCTCTGCAGTTAAGTGCTCCACCAAAAACAATCACCAGTTGCAGTTTTAAACCTGTATAGCCATTGTATTCTCTTAACAAGATCTAATTGGTTTTCCAATGGGAGCTATTAGAGTTTTAGACTATGTTCATACTTTTGTGGCTAATCAAATGTTTCGTATGTTTCATTGTATAGGTCCAAAGTGGAATCCTTCTCAAATCGGGCTGCAGCTAGAATATGGTAAGAGTCAATTTTCAATGAACCATATGTTGAATTTAAAATCCCTTTTCTACCATGAATAGCTGACTTTTATCATTTATTACATACTGATTTGATTCTCCCAAGAAGCTACTGCTTCACTTTTATAGCTGATAAATTTTAGCATCACAGGTATGGTTTTCACAAATTTACTATCTCTGAGTCTCACAGGCAGCATCTAAACAAATATTTTTCTCCAAAGCTTTAACTGCTGAGCCATTATCATTCTTCTGGATTTTCATATGTTGTCAGGGATAATGCTTGTCTCTTTAACTGTTTTTGCTATCATTCTCCAGTAATAAAGCAGAATAAGTGCAACCTGGAGGAACAAAAACTAGTGAACTTGGAAAGGTACCGTATCAACTACTAAACCCCAAGTTTCTCCACATTTTAAACCCTATTCTTTTAGAAACTACATAAATAGATATCCTTAAAAATGAATCCTATTTAAGAATTACCATTATTAATATTACATCAGCTTTACTTTAAATTTGTGGGTTTTTATTTTAATGGAGGCTCTAGGTAAAATGCACATTCTGTCTTTCTTTCTTTCTTTTTTTTTTTCTTTCTTTCTTTTTCATTTCTTTTTTCAGGCTGAGAGGGACAATTAAAGTCTATAACAGCCAGTCTCCAGGAAACACTTTTATAAATATGCACTTTCTGATTTTTCCATTCAATCATGAATTGAATTGTTTTGTATTTGCTGATATTCAGGTTGTCTATTCTCAAATATTATAGCATTTTTTTAAAAATGATTCCCCTAAATTGCTTTAAAATTCTGCTTTCATTGTTTTCTTAAGCTTTCAATAATTCCATGAGACCTGTATACTGAAAATTGAAAATGGAATACATAATATTTAAAGAGATCACACTCTTTTTGTTAATGAGGATTGAATCCAAGGCCTTTGCATTGAGACACATCCCTAGCCCTTCTTTCTGTTGTCCTACCTATCTATCTATCTATCTATCTATCATCTAACTATCTACATTTTTAAGATATGGTCTGTTAGGTTGCTAAGTTGCCCAGGTTTGAACTGACAATCTTCCTTACTCAGCCACCCATAGTCCTGGGATTACAGATTTAACCCACAACATCCAGCTAGAAGTCACACTTTTGATCATCTCAAAATCTTTGTTCCTCAGATATTCAAGTCAGTTTTCCATGTGAATAAAATTTAAGCGAGCAAAATCATTGTCTTATTATTTTCTCCATGCATGAAAATAAATAGTTGTGAGCTTTCTGAACTTATCTGAGTACAGAGAAGGTTCATTGAGAGTGCAGTTGGCATCAATGTCAAATATGACTTCTGTCTGAAAGCACTGTAAGGGGCTGAAGAATTTGTTACTTCAATTTTTTTTTTCTGTTGAGTATGACACTTCACTTTTTTCTATATTTATTTACCTGTTCAAATGTACCAGAATGTGATCAGGGCAATGAACAAGTATTTTCTCAGTCCTTGGATAAGAATATGATGATGTAATTAGTAAAATAGTCAATTAATTTAGAGAAAGAATTAAAATATGGTACAAAGAAAAGTTTATTCAGTTAAACACAGAATCTTAAAACTTGACTCTTCTGTTTATCTACCTACATCCTTCATTTGTAAGGTAGAGGTAGTAAGCAATTTAAATCTTGAAATCGTAAATTAGGTTATGGTGATAAAGTATATACTGATAGGCTTTTCTTCTCATTAGTGGTTCCAAATAATACATAAAGTCTTACATTCTTCATACAACAGCTTTAACAAACCTTTATGTTTAGGGGTATTCCGTGTAGAGTCCGTTCCAATCTTGGAAAAACAATATACAAAGAGAAGCTTGAGTTAATTTGGGTAATCAGTTAGCAAACCTTAACTGGATGAAACATGACTCAAATAGTACCAGTTATATATTTCTCTTGGCTTCACATATCTGTCACTGTTCGGAAAAGCACATATTCTTGAAAGGTTGTGGACAAGCGTCCTGATTCCCAAGTCTATGGGTGATATAATTCAAAATGCATCTGCTTTTTGTTATGTTTTTCTTTCAAATTGTCATTTTGATCAGGCACCATGTTTTAAAAATGATGCTAGTGCTCTCTTCTTTGAAGTAAGCAAGGAAGATAAAGGAGTGAAAACTAATTCTCTCCATAAATTGTGCATTGGAAATCTTTTCTCAGTAACAAGTTGTGCAATGATAGAAGAATTTTCCATCCTTTCTAACATTATCTTACATGTAATTGTCTTAGTGTTATGGATTATTTGGAAATGTTTATAGTATTTCTTTGATCCATATTTCTGCTTCAGTGTAACAAATTATCAAGATTTAACAGAGATTTTTAACCATTTCACTTACTAGATTGAATTTGCATTGTGGCTGAATTCACTACTCACAATATGAGAAACTGGAATTAAGGTGTTGGCTAAATTGAGCTCTGACCTACAGACCCTTCACTAAACCTCCCATCTTTCACGTTGTTGGAATACTTTGCATTATTTAAACGTCTGTATTTCTTTTTGTTTCCCTTCTACAGTTCTTTGGCAGGGTCCTTTTGTCTTGTTGGATGTCGGTACTGTTCTGTGCAGCCACCTACATGCCTGAAACTTGGTATTCTCTATCTTCAAGCCAAGAGTGCAGGGCACAGTCTTTAATGCAGTCAGTCTCTGGATTGTTCTAGTTCCGGGCTCTGCTCAGAGGCTTTAAAAATTCATATGATCAGGTCAGTTCACCGAGATAATCCAGAATCCTAGGGATTATACAGAGAGCAGGATTCTTGGTAATCTTCCTAACAAATCCACAACTTCATTCTTCCACTTAGCCAAACACAGAGCTATATTTGTATTTATAAGGAAATACCAAATTAATTATCTTTATAGGCAAATGTGTGTTTCACAAATGTCAATGTGTTTAAAAGAGAGAGTGTGAAAGGAGACTATGGAATAGTCTTCATTATGGGGCTTCCCCACCACTGGGGCTAGGATCTGGAAGGGAGGACTCTTATTTGCCTTCCCAGCATTCATAGCAAATTTTTGGCTCTGCCCCTCAGGGACACAGGCTCTAGTCTAGGAGAGCTCCCCCTTGCGTTCTGACTACCATGTGCTGTGGTACAGACCTTGTCAGTAAAGACTTACTTGGGAGATTCTGTTAAAAAAAATAGCTACCTACAGAGTTGCATACATTGTTATGCTCATCTAAATTTGCTATTAGAAGTGAATTTACCAAATTTGCATCTCTAGATGTAGATCACATATATACACTTCACTTTAAAATATCTTCAATTATAGATCTAGTTTCTTGTATTCTGGAAATCATGCAATGGTAGAAATTAACATTTTTCTCTTTCTTTAGAAATTAGAGAATATAATGACACCTATGGATAACGTGTCACAAATAATATGTCACAAATAAAGTACCATAAACTAAAATTGAATAATAATGATAACAACAACAATAGTATTGCACCTGCGAGACTAATTCATCTTGGTACATGTGATTCTAGTCTGTGTACTTTAGACTATATTTGTTTGAAAAAAACAAAGTATATTTATCTGTTAACTTATTGCGGATCATTTCACCTTTTTGCAATATTTTTGCTTTTGTACATAATGATCAAGTTAACTTTGTAATGAATCTCCTGGTGTACCCAATCCAGACACATACTCTGTTCATCTTTACTAATGAAATTTTTAAAGTCTTCCAAAACATGGATTCCTCTTATTCGGCACCCATTTTGTGAGTGGCTCCTTCTTGGTCACCCTGCTCTATCTTCTCACTTGCTAACTATGGATGTGCTGCAGAGCTAGCTCTTTTCCATTCTCTTTCTTCCAAACTGAATTCTTAAACAAGCCAGTCAAACCCCAGGGCCTTGAATGTTAATAACTCTCAGACATAAACAGGTGCATCTTCCCAGTGACCTTCCTAACAGGTCTTCCTTGAGTAACGAATAGATATTACACATTTAATGTCGCCTAATTCAGCTAGAAGATCATCCTGCTCTTTTTTCAGTCTTCATGTCAGTTAATGACATCACAGTTCATTTAAGGACTCAGACTAAAAATCTAGAGCTGTTTTATGACCCTGAAGCCTCTCCACTCAACCAATTTCTCAGCAAATTGAACCTATATATGTTTAAAATATATCTGGAATTGGTAAATGACAGGCATTTCCCTCAGTTACACTGGAAATGTAAACGAATACCATCTCCCGCTTGATCGCTTATTCCCAGTTCTCCTCCACAGTCTCTTCCGTATCTTCTTTTTCATAAGTACCCAGAGCGATCTGTTAGAAGATAACTCATGCCACTCCCTGCATGCTTTCGAGTCACCCTGAAATTCATCTATCCTCAAATTGTTGACCCTACAATAAAACCTCTTAGAGAGAGCTGACTGACATTCAGGTCTTCTTATTTCAAAAACCACACCTTTTAAACAATTCTGTGCCTTATTTGAGTAATACCTAAAAAGTATTTTCTCATAAATAATAGAATAGCTTGTAGGTTGGTTAGATAGCATTGGGAAATTTTTTCCCATTTGGTAAACTGCTTTGTATATTTTCTAAAATGAATTTGTTCACCTTTTATATTAATTTAAGGAATCTTTGTTCTCCATCATTTCTATACAGGATGAATTATTAGCATTAACTGCTTGCATATTAAGGAATTACTTATCATTTTCCCTTGAAATTATATTTTAAGACATTTTACTTTTATTTCAGGTGGGCCCTTTTTGAAGGACTACATCACTATTCAGAGTGTTGCAGCTTCCTCAATTGTCACGCTCTATTTTACAGACTTAGGGCGACAAGTCAGTTGGACCACAGTGAGTGACAATTTGAAATACAAAGCACATGCTTCGTATTTTGTTTTAATTGATGTATCAACAGACTAGTTGCAGTAAATAAATTCACAATGAAACAAAACATTATTCTGAATTGTATTTTGAATTGATGTTTTTCATATGATCAGCCACCAAAGGAACTGTCAAGAATCACAACAATAAAATTCGTCGGTTGGCTAAAGGAAATGAATTCCTTTTCATAAAGGTGAATGGAGTTTATGATTCAGGCTCCAGTTTTGCTTCCTCTGTACCTTGTCAGTGGAATGATAGTCCCTTCTTTTCCTTCTAAAAGACTCGGGGTAGCAAGGAATCTCTATTGGATAGAGCAGGAAAAAGGATATTCCATAAGAAGGTTTTTGTTGTTATTGTTGTTATTGTTGTTGTTTTTGGTACAGGGGATTGAACTCAGGTCCTTGAGCTTGCAAGGCAGGCGGAGGAACCACTGAGCTAAATCCCTGGCAAGAAAATGTTTTTAAGGCAAAGAACATTTTAGAAAAGTGAGAGTGGAGAAGCGAACCTTCCTCTAGTGTAAGGGGTGCATTTTTGCTCTTTGGGAGGACAATAGGAGCTCTCAACCACCAGACCTAAACGCAAAGGCGGTAGAAGGAGAACTGCACTAAAGCATATAAATAGCTCAAAAACATGAAAATACTTAATACTGGCTCACCAATGTCAACTCGCTCATTAGCAATGGAATAAGCAATGGGAAAGCTTTAGCAGTAAGAGGAAATAGGACTTTTAGTAACAGAAGCAGTAAAAGAGTTAAGCTGAAAAATGTCTTGAGAGTGCTGTACAAAGAATATCTTGAGAGTGCTATACAAGAATCCTATCTTGTCTATGAAAGCTTTTTCACAAAGGAATTAAACTTTCTTCAATCTGTTTCTAGTTCATTGTTTTCAATTTTGTCAGTGTGCCAGCAGGTCAGGCATCTCTGCACTCATATGATCACCCCAGACTCTCGCATTCAGACATTGGTCCTCTTACCTACACAACCAGACATATTAGAGTTAAGCATAACATTTCAGGAAGAGGATGCTGAATTATTTCAATAGGAATAAGGGCAAAAGCAAAGCAGTTACAGATGGCAGCAGCCTGGAAAGAAAAGAAATGTAAAGAAACAAGGAAAACAAATAGAAAGTGCGCGCTTTAGCCCATTCCAGTCAGTGAAAGGCAAATACGGATGAAGGAGTGTAGTGGACTAAGCAGACAGGAAAAGTATATTTAAAAGAATTTGTTTCATCAAATAACATGTCCTTTATACTTATACTATTTCTTTAAAAAGTTTTGATATTTATTGTTTTAAAATAACAAATTATATATTATCCATTCTCATTAACACTTGGCTGTTTCTTCTAAGGAAGATTTATTTGCATCGGCATCTATTTTCTTTCCTTAAAGAAATCAACATCCACCTGATCATGTCCCCGTGTCTTGCATAGACAAATGCTGATGAATACAAGTTAATTTCTAATAGGTTCGATAAAAATTTATGGTTTAATATAAAGAGCCTTCTTATTTTCAGGTGTTTCTGGCTGAGTATACAGGACCTCTGCTAATATATCTCCTTTTTTACTTGAGGATTTCAAATATATACAACATAAAAGAGAGTGCTAGAAGATTACGCCATCCGGTGGTACAGTAAGTAACATATTAGTACATAGTGCATGTGGTGAAGAACTACAAATGCTCTCCAATTGCAAGTTGAAAATAATTGTACATGAAATGAATTTAATATGCCTAATGCATGGAAAATCAGAGTTTAGCAACACAGTACTCTATACAGGATCTGATTTCAGCTCATTTTCAAACTGTGCCTTGCTACTCCTGTTCTGAATTGGAAGTTTCATACTATATATTCCTAGCCTAGGAAAAGACAAAAATGCAAAATTGGACATAAAGTTGTAGAGACTGGGAAGACGTTCCTATCATAATAATGTCAAAAACTATTCATCCAACTATCATAAATCAGGGACCATTTGCTGTAAGTAGTTTCCTTATTAATAAAGGTTGATTATGAATCTTATTAGGCTGAAATAGTGGAACATTCATCTTAGGAACTGAAAATAGATATTCAACAAGCTTGCAAAATATAAACATTGGACTATTAGGCAAACCTCCAGTAGAGGTAATTTAATTAATAATGACCATAGTAAAGAAAATAGATTGGGAAATTCAGAAATAGCACCAAAAGATGGCTAAATCTCAAAAGTTTAAAAACCTTGCATTGGGCTCAAGATATAAATACTTCCTCAAAAATTTCTGGCAAAGATGAGCATGAGTGTGTCTGCTTATAGTCCTAGTACCTCAAATAGTAAGGCAAGGGCATTGCAATTTCAAACACAGCCTGGACAAATTAGTGAGAGAGCCTGTCTCAAAATAAATTATATAAAATTGGGATGTGGATATAGTTCAGTGTGATAGCGTTGGTTTCAACCCCCAGTATCCCAAACAAATGGATTTTTAAAAACTGGCATTTTCGCCATAGAAAAAATAATAACCTGAATAATATGTGGCAGCAAAATGTTTTAAAGGCTACCTTTACTAAGTCAAAATCCAAAATCAAGCAACACTTTGAAGTATGGCATAATTTTTAAAAAGAATAGAACAGTGATCAAAGAGGGCTATACAACTGTAAATATTTAGCTCATTGTAAAATAACATGAAAGAAACTGCCAAATTAAACAGAAAATATGATTATTTAAAATATCACACTAGGCTGTTGGGATATAAATTTATTAAAAGAAAAGAGAAACATCAAATGTCATGCATTACAAAATGCTCCATGTTAATTAAGAAGCAAAGTATAAATACTGAGGACTTATGAACACTAGAAAATGGAGAATTTCATTGATTATGATTTTTTTTCACCTGCATCTAGTGCTGTCTTTCCCTTCATCAAGGACAGAAGTCCACTGAAGCCTTTCTTATCCACACAGTGGCACCTCGAATCAGACCATCCCCAGTCTCAGCTTTCACTGTCTCCTGTTTCTTCTATTATTCAAACTTCAAATGAAAGAAAGTCAATATTTCTTAATTATTATTATTGATTATTATTATTATTATTATTATTATTATTATTATTATTATTATTTTGGTACTGGGGATCGAACTGAGGACCTTTCCTGGCCAGGCAGGCAGCAGAACCACTGAGCTAAATCCCCAGCCATTATTTCTTATTTAGACAACCATTCCTACTCCTGCCACAACAAAGATCATATTAAAAGGAGTTTCCTCTAAGCAACTCATTACTTGAAAATTATAGGTTCACAGAATCATGTTCTGTATTTCCCTCATTAGGGTTCAAATTTTATAATGAATGTGTTTAGATGCCCAGTCTATTCTCACTGTTCAACACTTTACTTACTTACGGGAAATAACCCACAAAGCGTTTGAGCAGAGACTAAGTATACACACATACATTTTACCTTCGATACTTTGAAAGTGTGAAAGCAGAAATCTTAAGCTGAATGGATGTTCCAAGATGGTGTTTCTAAGTGACATGAAAATACACACAAGGGATGAATCAGATTTCAATGATTGAATTGAGAAATTTCCATATGGTAATGATCTGTGTACAGAGTAGTTTAGTAAATTATAGAAGGAAAATGAAGGTTTAGTGTGGCCAGGATGAGAAGCAAGGAGATTGTGGTAATAAGTAAATATCTATAGTATTAACTTCTTTCTTTTTCTTAAGTGAAGAGGTACATTTAATTCATTAGAAATAGCCTGAGGCTGATAGCTTGAAAGGAGAAGGTAATAGAACCTTTTTTTTTTTTTAAGAGAAAGTATGTAACATGTACCAGACTAATGGGACAGCCTGAGAAAGGAATTCTTTTTAGCAACACCCTGACAGTATTCTTTTTTTCTCATTGAGTTTATTGGTACATTTTAGGTATACAGTACAGTTACATTCATCATTGGGTTTTTGTACCGTTACATGACAGGTCTTGGTTCTCATTTTTTTCTACTTGCCCCTTCCCTCCCTTCACCCCCTCCTCCCTTCCCTATTTACAAAAACTTTATTTCCGTTTTCTCATTTTCTCATATTTTTTTCTTTTCCCTTATTTCCTGACAGTATTCTTAAGGTAAATTTAGCATGCTTAGGAGAATGTAGTGGTGCAAAATTTTCCAAAAGCATAAGTGTGCATCTTTAGATGAAATTATTTCATATATATATATACACAATCTACCGTTGAAATTTAGCAAAGATTTATAAAAATAATTTTAAGGCTTTTAAGAGTCTTCCAATTTCAGGATATCATCATTTGAGTTTAAGATCCAGTTTCAAATGCCACGACCTATTGCCACATACTCAAACATTAAGGCTACAAAATTATTCTTACTCATCACACAAAGTCAAAATTACCTCTACATCTATACCTACATAGATACACAGATATATAGATAGATTGATATTGAGACAGGGTCTTGCTTTGTAGTGCAGGCTAGCCTTGAACTCACTATGAAGCTGGCCTTGGACTCACTGTGATCCTTCTGCCTCAGCTTCCCAAGAGCTGGGATTACAGGCGTGCATCACCGCACCCAGCTCAAAAGTAGATTTTTTGGTAAAAACATGCAAAAATCTGATATCTGTATGTGACTGTAGCACCACATACTTCTTTGAGACTTTAAGGACATCTGTGCTGCAGAACCTCAAGATGCATGAAGTATTTTCTGAACATCACTTTACTACCTCCGCTTTCCCTTCCTCTCCTTCAACTGAAATGTGCTCCACTTTCCTTGCAGCTGTGTAAAGCTGAAGCTGTGCTTTATTTCATAACCCTTATATCTTGGACCTTAATCCATAAAAGATGTGAAAACTTCAAATCTGATTGGAAAAAAATAATAGAACCCCAAAATATTTATGAATGTATAGTTAGGTTAGCAATGGGTGAGGAGCAAAAATATGTTTTATAGAAAGTCAAACATAATTAAATGGAATAACAATATTTTAGAATGAAATGAAACTTGGTGAATGATGCACCTTGTGGCATTCAGCCCATCACCTGTAAAGCTTATGTCCTTGTAGGATAATAGAAAACAATCTAATTTTGAGCTATCTTACCTTGAAGAAAAATTTCTTACTCGAGCTTTGGTTATTTTGCTAGGCTTAACCTAAATTTTCTATTTTCTTATAAAATGTTAATTTATATTATTCAGGGGGTTTTATAATTATTTCCACAAAAAAGCAAGAAGGCATGAGATATCAATTTCTTTACCAATGTATGGACTTTACAAGAAAATCTTCTATATCAGAATCTTTGCTTTTTCTTGTGCTATTGTCTCGAATGCCAACCTGATATTCATATCACTAGTCATCTTATCTTTTCAGAATTTGTTAATAGTAAATACATACATCACATAGAACATGTATCTCACATAATATGAACATGCTTATATTTTATGAAAGAATAAATAACGATATATTTGTTACTGATTTACCAGGTTTCTGTTTATTTAGTTTTGTTTTTATGAAAGTCACTGCTATTAAAAATCATTATTTCATTTTTGATAAATAAACACTCCTTCCTGTAAACTCAGTATCTGGTTTTACAGAGCAAATTACTGATTTTTATGTACAACCAGTTAAAGTATGTCTCTTAGATTCATACAGATTATCTTAATAGTGAAAAAGTTTTTGAAATTTTAGCTTTTCCTTATAACAAAATAGCTATAGATCTTAATGAAAACTATATCACTGTAAATCAGATGTGACATTTATGTTTAAGAGTCATTATGCAAAACTGGCAAGAAATGGTGGTAGATTAGAGCAAAATGACAAACATACTAAGAGATAAAATATTACAACATGGAAGAAAGGCAAAGCACAAACTAATAAAAATTAAGTGATGCATTATGAGTGCATGGAAAGTGAAACTCAGACTTTTACAATCTCAGTGCTTGATAAAGGCCAACCAGGCAATTAAGAAGTTATTCTGTATATTATAAAATGTCAAATGCATTCTAAGTAGGTCTCAGATATTTTTAAAACTTGTAAATTGTGTGCTTTAATCTTGAGGCATTTTGAAATGAACACATCTGCAGTTAGTATATTTACACTTACTCCTGGGGCAGATGTGAGCATAACAGGTTATGATTGGCATTATAAATTATTTCTGTACCATCAAAAGTAAATTTACAGTCTCATAAAAGATGACATTCATTGTTAAATAAATTTTTAAATTTCTAGAGTAAGATATTAAGTAGTTGTGTTTCATTATCAGAAGTTGTATACCCTAAAAGAATTTTTATCCTAATAAAATATTTAAATATTTCATCCATTAGGCAAGGCAGGAGTTGGATGGAATTAAAACTTGACATTGTATTTCTTTTTTTCCAGTTTGGCTTGCTTCTGTCATTGCATACACTACATCCGGTATATTCTGGAAACTTTATTTGTTCACAAAGTTTCTGCAGGACACACACCTTTCAAAAATTTGGTGAAGGTGGGCATTACTATATTCTATATTTTAAATTATTATTGATACATTTTGTATATTAAATCATTTGAAAAACAATAAATTGTTTTCACCTCTCTACACTAGATTTTCCTGTGTACATGTGTCAGAATATATTGAACATTCTGCTTCTCAAATGCTATTGTGTGAGTGAACTATTTCACTCGAGCTACCCTCAGCAGTGACTGCATAGGGAGATTGGCTGTGACATTATGGTAGAAGGTACATACTCCAAGGAGTGTTATTCATTTCTGGCATCTTTAGCAATGAGTTCAGACTCATTCTGTGCCACTTGAAAAGGATGAACCTCACATACGAAACACCCTTGTATATACAACTATGTGATTAGTATATGATATCATACTCCATATTTCTGCTAGCTGTCAGTGAGATGCCAGTGTATTTTTTCTTCCAAAAACAATTTTCAGCATTCAAATATCCCTGAAAAATGAGAAATTCATTATAAATGCACTTTAGACAGCATCTTTTACTTCAGTTTTTCTATTAAAGTTTAAAATAATATTCAATCTAATGTTTATTTCCCCAAAATGTATACATTACAAAAAAGTATCTAATTTTTTGGCTAATATCAGCTTTTAAAATTTTTCCACAAAGCAGCCATTCTATTGTTGTTGTAATAAAATAAACTCCGGAATGTTAATATTCAGAAATCATTTAGACATTTTTCTCTTTTGACAGAAAAGATTACAACTTATAGATCCTCGTATGATGAGAATGATATTGCCCGATAATCTTAAATCTAAGTAATTTCCTTTTCTAATAAATCAAAATATGTTATTAGTAATGAATAGCTCATTCTTTTAGTGATTTACTGTTACAATATATCATACAAATATCTATTATAATTTTTATTACTTTTTTTCATGTTTCTACTTGATTGACAAAGCCATTCTTGAAAATCTAAAATGTAAGAGGACATGTAGCCTAGGTCCCAAGTATTCTTTAATATTAGTAGGAGGGGAGCATAGGGAAGGACACCTTTACTCGTATCAAAAGAGTAATTTTAAAATGCTAAAACATCTGTTTATCCAGTTTAGTCAATATACTATATTTCATTCAAAAAACGTTGCTGTGTGATATCGATGTTCATGGTAGTGTTGAATTATATCTTTTAAAGCTTACATTCTGCTGTGTTTAATTTGTAGGGTTGTGCATTATATTGGGGATTCACCTCTTGGATTGCCTACTACGTTAATCACCCACGTTATACACCACCATGTATGTAGAATTTCTTCACAACTAAATCCATACTAAATTGCAATCTCAAAACTCTGCTCTAAGTAACATAGGAAAATGAATGTGACATTCTTAAAGTAACAGTTGATTAAAAATGCCAATAGCAAACTGCTTCTGTGTTATAATCCATGACACTTTTATGTAGACTGAAAACACCTAAATTTAACTGATAATATTTGAATTTTATATGTATGTAGGAAATCTAACAAATTTATTACTTAAATGTAAATTTTCAAAAGGAAGTATAAAAAAATAAAACTCTAAATACTAAAACAAAAGTATATACAATTGTGTATTTATGCTTGTTGTGAGCTGTTTTGAAAGTCAATAAAAATATGATTCACTGAAAAAAAAACAGATAATTTTTTCCTGTGACATATTGGTTCCATCCTATATCTTAATTTATTGAACATCTTGGTTTCCCCTGTCTTGGATTGCAATGTGGAGGAAAATGCAATGGGCCCAATCCAACCTCAATTACTAACCTCAGGAAAGCAGTCCTGTCCCTATCAAGGAGCTCCATTTCTTTATTTCAGGTGCAGTTTTCTTTTCTAGGCTTCTACTGTAGTTCCCAAAGCATACAAAAAAGAGCCCATGAATTAAATGATTTTCCAGTTTAATTAACAATTATTTTGTGTTTTTCAAACTCAGGACCTTGCGCTCACAAAGCGGGTGCCAGAAGAACCACTGACCTAAATCCCTCGCCCCTATTTTCTGTTTTATTTCTAGTATTGGTAAGGTTTGAGATAAAGACGTCAATGAATGGTGTATTCAGGCAATACAATGCACATGCCATTAACAAGATCATTTTCCATAATCCTGAATGAAAGTTAAAGATAAATAATCATTGTATTGAAAATTAATAGTATGAATATTCCATTACTCTCAATCTAGAAAATTGAATAATAATTGCCTAATAGGGTATTTTTGATCATCCAAATGTGATTTACTTTTCTCCTCTGCCCATCAAACTTAAGGTCTTGCACGTGGTAAGTAAGTGCTTTAACAGAGTTACATCCCCAGCCCCAAAGCAAGACATAATATATAAGTTATTAAAATAATTTGTTTTATTAGAGTAATTTCTACAATACTAAATTATTACAAATATCAAAATAGTGTAGAAATTATTAACTATGAAGATTTTTGGAAAACTTGTTTCAATGTGTTCAACCTATAACTTTGGTTTGGGGAAATAATTATGAATAATATTTTAAACATTAATTTCCACTCTATCTGTTTTCATCACAATATTATTTATTTTTATGAATTTTGTATGGATTTGTTTTGTTTTTTAATTGCAAGAAAAATGTATACTAAGGGAATTATAAAATTGTTCTTTCAAGTATATAAAATATACAAAAATTTGTATCTTAAAAGGTATCAGAATTGTAACTAGTTTTCTGTGACAGATGGGATTTTATTTACTGTACTTTTTAATTGTACATTTTTCAATTTCCCAAATATTCTCCATCACTGTATTTTATTTTAGAATTTGATCTGTGTACACTGTAAAATCAACTTTCTAATCTATGTATGTTTGGGGGTATATATTTCATGACATATGCATTCATGTAAAATTCTTATGTAGTCCTTTGACTAAAATATACTTTCATATTTCTAATTCAAATAGAATTTCAGTGAAAAATTGACTGATGAGATGTTCAATGTGTCATTATTTATCATATATGGCATTATTTTCAATCTTTAAATGTTCATTTAAAGCCTCAGACCTTACAAACTTAACATTTTATATACTTTTTTACAACTCATTTTAGAAAAATTGATAACATTTAATGTTTAAGAGCCAGCCATATCACACAGTGTGTATAGAGTCTATCATCGTTATGATGATGAATGTTTCAAAGTATTGAGAAAATATTGAACATATTCTTAGGGAAACAGTGCAGGTTTCAAAGTGACAAATGAGATTAACTTTCATTTACAGGTGCTTTTAGATAGATAAATATAATTTCCATGTATACACACACATGAAGAAAAAATCAATCATTAATATTCATGGTGATCATATGAAATCATTCCTTTCTTAATATTCACAATAGTATATTTTAACTTTTCATCGTTGGCAGTGTGTCTTGAGAATATAGTTTTAAATTTCACTTTATGCATTCCTCTTTATGTTATCTTGGGAACTTGGATAGTTATATTTTTCTTTAAATTAAGAAAAATAGTACTTACCTCATTTTTATCATAAAGTGTAAAGCATTTAAAATAATGCCTGTTTTAAAGTATCCTCATGAATTGTTGATATTAAAGAATTAATTTAACTGTTAAAATTGTTTGGAAATATAAGCTACTTGGATTTCTTTTTATTATAAATGTTTGAAAGGAAGTACTATAAAGTACTCTCTTATAATAGGACATATTATGTTTACTATTAAAATAAATAAAAGATAAAACATGATTTTAAATGTGATTTCAAATGCAAGTTAATTAAATATTCCTTTTATATTCTAAATATCATGTTTACTGCAAAAAATGCACTTGAAGAGCAAAAATATTTTCTGCCCTTTAGACTACATAAGTACCAGTCCAAAAGGTCATTTATATACTGCACATCACTGTTATGTAAAGTGTAAATGTATACAATAACATTGCCTGAATTATGTGCACCATGTATCAATTCAAAATTTTTGCATAACATTTTATTTTCTTACTTTCTAGCATATGGAAACAGACAAATCACAATATCTGCTATCAATTTTCTGGTATGTATCATACATATTATTTCTTTCATATGAACTTATTTTATTTGTTTTTGTTTGTTTTTCATACTGGGAATCAAACTCAGGACCTTGTTCTTGGGGGACAAGTGCAGCACCACTGAGATAAATTCTTGGCCCACATGTACTAATTTTGTTATTGTGAATATAAAATACAATTTATTTGAAGGATTTGCCACATACAACACAGTCTATATAATTATACAAAATGAAGCAAATCAAATAACTTCCTATTGTCATGCTATTAACTCTCTAAAACTTTCAGTCAAAATGTTATTAAATAACTTCTTATAATCACAACATTAGTTCTTCAAATCCTTTAATCAAAATGTTATAGTTATCTATGAATAATTATATATATTTATTTGATCTCGTACATATTTGAAAAAATATTTTCAATGAATCAATTTACAGACTTCTGAGAGAAAAAAATGGTTTTAAATATGCAACAGATAAAAAATCCAAAAACGGCTTTGGCAAAATTGTTAATTTAGCTAATTTGATAGGCAGGCAAATTGATTTTATTTTATTTTATTTTACTTTATTTTTGTCATGCTGGAGATCAAACCCAGGGTCTTGGTTCTTTCCAAATTGTTCTCAGTCTTGTTCTTTTGACCACACAATTTTACTAAGCTCTCATATGCAGTGTAACTTAATGCTCCCACTCTGCATTAAAGTTGTTCCCCCATGACTGTTCTTCGTATTATCAGAAAGCTTGTCTATGTCATGCCCAACTCCACATTCCTAGTGAAGCTTTAAGGACCTATGTTCTACTGTTTAACACAAGGTCTGCTTTACCTAGTAGACTTTATAGGGATTGTCCACTCACACTTTTGTTCAATATGGATCTTGAAATTTTAAAATTTCTTTGAGATTTGAAGACACTTTCAAAGACTGATTTATTAACAAAAAACTATGATTTTAATTATAAATAGGATTTAAAATATGTGAAAATTTTACTTCTATATATTTTATTTAACAGTGAAAATATTGAATGTAATTACATTTCATGGAAATTTAGAAATTAGACAAAAAAATTCTGTTACTCTCTCACAAATACAAAATATGTCCACAATTTTAAAAATGGTTGTTAGCCCTAGTATTGCCATATGAAGATCAAGGTAAATAGGGCATTCAAAGTTTGCTAAATAGTTTGTATTTGCTTCAAATTTCAGGAAATCCATTCTATTACAGGATATAATTACTAATGAGTTGATCAAATTTGTGTATAATAATTCAAATTCAGGAGAAATATACATTATAATCAAAATATACTGCAATGTTTATATTTTCATTTAAAACTGAAACATATGTATGCATGAATATTTCAGGCTTACCACACGTATTATTTATTTAATTTTATGGAAAGAATAGGGAACCTGATTTAAGGTCCAGAGTAATTTTTAAGCCTTTTTCTGTTAAAACTATCAGCACTTAGTGGAACCAATGATTGTACAGAATGAACACAGGAGAAATTAATAATGTTTTCCTTAAAATATTCTTCAACCAAAAAGTACCTGTCTTAATTGCATGTGTTTTTACTAATAAAATTTTATTTTCTCAACTTGCTGTTCTAATACACTGACCTATGATCTTTTAATAAAAGAAAAAATATTATTTATTTAAAGATACAGCTTTTTTGGTATGTGGAATGAGGTATCACTTCATAATAAGATAATTTATTAGAATCATGTGGGATATGATTATAGTTAACTCTTAATTACTCATGAGGGAATAATCCATCTGGGGGCTAATAATTAACAATTAACGATTGTCTCTTATGCTCTGTATGATTTCTTTCCACTGATATTCTGATTTAGCTGAAATTTTAAGAAAAATATATGTACATAGTATACCCCAAGTCAGCTAAATCATCTTTGATTGAAATTCTTTTGATTTTGATGTGTTTTATCCTATGTATACCATGTGGAGATTTTTTATTTATTTATTTTTTTTAGTACATGTTGCATTGTATAATGACTACACTCACTGTGTGGGATGGGTACATGTAAACGTCTCTCAGTTCCCTTCTTTTTTCCCCCTTCTTCTATTTCCCTTCTACCTCCCTTTTATTTTTCCCTTTTACTTATTACACCTTATGAAGCTAATTACCATATATACAGATTGAAACCTGACTAATAAGCCAAAGAAAATATAAAACATGCAAGAAAATTATATTGTCAAGGTACAATTAAAATATTTTGTCTTCTATGAAATTTTTTATTACTTCATTTGCTTAAAATTTTTCTGACCTTCTGTATAACATTTATTACTCAAATATGTGCAAGAATCATAAACCTACAGGAATAAACAAATGTAGGCAAGTTTATAAAGCACAAATGTCTCCCAAACTTTTGAGGGTACTTTTGTTTGTCTACAGTCACTATTTTAAATACTATTTTTAATTTCTCCATATTTACACTACCTGTCTTCATATTTGGAATCCTATTACATTTAAAATGCAACACATAAAACACCCAAATCAAAATTGCAAAGTGAATATTATATGTAAGCAATAATCCTATTTACTTCGGATTCTTTTGTTCTCCATTTCATTTTTTTACTCTCTAGAAGAAATTATTGCTTGCTAGTTCTTTGCTCAATGAACAATTCATCAGAAAATGTAGTTTTCCCTTTTCACTGTCTTTAATAATTATAAAATAGGAGGAATGTATAAGACGTTTTTTGCAAAGTCCTGAAAATAACTCTTCCCTATTTGTGTGTGTGTGTGTGTCTTCAGTCGCACTGCTAGATACTCACTCATTGCTGATTTATTACTATTATTATTATTATTATTATTATTGTTATTATAAAGTGCAGATTTTATGGAAATAAAGACTATGTCCTAATCAAGTAGGCAAACTTCCTTCTGTAACATTTAGCTGGAAAGAGCCTTGGGGATAGAGCAGCTAATTTTTTATTAGGGGAAAGAATGCAGGAAACAATATATTACATCCTTTACTGGAGGCAGAAGAGAGGGAGCCTTGCTGTGATAACCACAGAAAGTCCAGGAACTGCTTTGAAAAATTTATAGATGAGGTGAACGAATGAAGAAAATTTGCCCAAGGTTAGCCCTTTCATTCTCAGCAATAAGCCCAGCAATAGACCCAGGTTTGATTGTAACAAAATTTTCTGACCTCTGTTTAATGTTGATAGACATCACAGCAAGGATTTGTATTTATTTCTTAAGTAAATTTCTTACTTAAAGTCTAGGGCTCTTTACGTGGACATCATTAATTTAGTTTCTCCTTAGCTCTCCTGAAGCATATGTGAAGAAATAAATATGTAAAGACACAGCTGAAAAGAAAAAAATAAGAATTTTAAATATACTTGGAATAAAATATTAAAAATACTGAGTTATAATTATGCTCAACTTTTGGGATTTATTAGAAATAAAATTTCAATGACTAAAAAATAAAGATTTTGCACAACATAATCCATTATCAGTAACAACGTGTTTCTTTCTTAACACTTAATTTGTGTTGTATAACGTAAGATCAATATGACAGACAAAGGAAGGATCTTAACTTCAAAAAGTACACAGTACAACTTGGGAATATTTTTAGTTCTAGGAGCTTGTGACAAATCTTTGACTTTCTTAGAAGATCACAGCCGCCTTCAAATCTGATAATTAGCAGAGTATTCAAATGAAGAGGGCAGATGTGAGCCAAGTAGTGAGAGCGTACATGGGCAAGCACTGCTCACAAGAGATCTTTCAAGCTAACCTTGAAACCAGCTCCAAATCAAACAAGCACCTTGCACTGGAAATATTTCTACTGTGTTAGTGACCTGAGGATAGACACTTGCATGAATTCTATCCTTAGAGGCATTCACCATCTCTTCATGGTAAGAAAACCTTTTGGAGGAACAAGTACAAAGCTGAAAGCCGGAGATTTAGCTCAGTAGTTACTCCACCTGCCTCAGAAGTGCAAGGACTGGAGTTCAATCCCTGGTGCCAAAAAAAACAAAAAACAAACAAACAAACAAAAAAAAAACAAAGCTACTAAGGAAGTTTGAGCTTGTTAGCAAAATGGGTTAAGAATATCATCAGAATTTGAAACAAGTGGGTGTTGTGGCCCAAGGTTGTAGCACTCTTTGGGATCATGCTACTTGGCATGCTGAGACTCTCAAGTTCTAGAAAAACCTGAGAATATTTTTGAGACTCACACAAAATAAAGACTAAGGATGTTACAGAGTGATACCTATGGTTGAACCCTAATAGTGAGAAAAAAAATCTACTTAATTGTGATTAGCTATGTTGGATTCAACAACTTAGTGCATTGGTATAAATTTTTCTCTTCTTAAAATTTATTTCTTGGGTTTGGAATTAATATATTACACGATTATATGTGTATTTTTCAGACATTTTAAAACAGGCACAATCATATCATACTGAAAAGTTTTAATATGTTTTGTAGATTTGTGAAGCTGGAAATCATTTCATCAATGTAATATTGGCTCATCCCAATCATACAGGTTAGTTTTTTTCTCTTTCCTAGAGTGAATTTTGATAATAGTTTTAAAAGCCTGTTTATCAGATTTTTTTTTTAAAAAAAGGTAATTAGCAATAGTTAGAAAAACTTAAAATATGGCTATACAGGAACTATGCGTCCTATTTTGTTAGGCACCTACGTGATTTTGATGCTCGACTCCTACATCTTGGCAGGGCTTCTTTTTCCCCAGTCCATCTCTGCGCCACACATATCTTACAAAACAAGTGCTAGCCACTTCTACACATACAGTAGAAAAACATAAAATTGTTGATGCAGTACAATAGTTCATTATTCTTAATCAATCCAGATTCCCTTGAGCTACTTTATGAAGCCCATTAAAGTAGCCCCACAGAACAATATATAAATGTACTTTCAGAAGTGTTAGGGTATCAAAAAAAATTAAGATTCATTATGTACATATATCAACTCCCCATGATAAATGTAATCACTATGTACTGCAAACATGTACTAATTAAAAATGCTCTATTATTCAATCTAAGGAAAATGTTTTTACTTGAGAGAGAGAAAAACACATTTGTAAATTGAGTGCATATATCCATTCATGTACCTGATGTCCAGTTAATGTGCTTTAGGAAAATTTCAACATCTGTAGATTATTTGCAGTGGTAGACAATACTTGCAATATTTTGATGACCATTCTCCAATTTACATCTGGCTTTTTAAAGAATTACAGCAATAAATTGAATGGTGAAATAATGGAGAATATTGCCCAAGCATACTTTGGATCTTGAGTGTGACAGTAATCTTACCCTGGGATCTAATATTGTCCTACAGAAGAATGGGTGTTGATTCAGATTTCCAGTGACTTTTCCCATTGCCAAAGCTACTGCTCTAAAGATGAAACCAAGACTATGTGGAGCTTTTGCAAGCTACAAACTGTGTATCATGGTCTATGGAAAAGACCACTGTGCACCTACTGGAACTAATTTCTGTAAAAGTCCTCAATGTGCAGACTTACTATACATTGTCTATCATGTAGAAAATGAATGGCCTGAATAAATGACCATAGTTAATTTAGTGAGGTTCTTTAAGGAAAGATTATGCAAATAACACATACACTTCGTTTGTGTTGCAATGCCTTTTTTTTTCCCCCCCTGAGGATCCGAGACTATTTTCCATCAGTGGGTTTGGAATCTTATGATTAATTTCATTCTAAAACCTGGGGAGGGAATAATTAACTTTATATTGTGTAAGTCTCTCCCGGATTCCTGACTGTTGATCTATAACTATTTTATTTGTTTTAATTCCACAATGCATTGCTGAGCATTAACTATTTCCTCTTTAAAGACATTGTATTCTATGGCCAGCCATAACTTTGTGTGGATCAAGCCCCTTCCAAACTCTCTCTTTGTGACATAGGGCTGTCTGTTATTACTTGAACTGGCTCTATTTTGGTCAGAGTAGGGAATCCCCTAATCCCACCTGTAGTCATCCTGGTTCTAAAATGACTTATGTCACTTATAAACAGCCAGATATAGCACTAATCTTATTGATGATTGGGCCCTTTTCACTGATAGATTTCAGAAAACTTTAAGAAACAGTGATTCCTATTGGCCCTCCCATGGAGCTTGGGAAAGAACATGGGTATTAGGCACATGAGGAAAAAAAATTACTTGAATAGAAAGGGGCTTCTTTTCTTCAGATTTATATGGATAATCTACTCTAGGAAGCCTATTTCTTGAAGCCACTTCCTATTTCTCTGATCTCTTAATTCTTTATCTGACTGCCATGGAAATGCTAGCATTTTTTCTGCATTACTGTGAGTCATTTCTTTATACAATTGTTAAAGTGCACTTTAGTACTGTGTTTTTACCAGAATATTTAAACCATTCATCAGGAGAGTCCTTCAAAAACATAAACCTTCTTTTATCCAATCTAGTATTTTTCCTCTTATCAAGCACCTTTTGAGTAGAATAATGTGTATGTTCTATTGATTGTTGGATCATGCTGTATAGGTCCTGCATCTCCTTTGGGGTATAATCCCTTTTTCTATTAGCTGTACCTGGAAAACTCAGGAAGCTTTCAAAGTAATATAAACCTGGATACTGTTAAAAGCTATGAGTGGAGGTGTGAAAGCTCTATTCTTGTAATAGTATGGCCTCTGTATTGGCAGGGAGGAGAACATTTTAATAAGTATTAGGAAGTTCATGAATACCTACACATTATATTTTCAGGCAATGACCTTGCTTTAGAATGGGAGTTGTATTTTTATTCTTTGGAGCTGGATTATGTTTGCATTTAGGTACTGGACCCTGCCTTCAGTCTTCTGCCATTTTATTGCAGAAAATTAGAGCCTCTTTAAGTGCTTCCAAGGAGCACCTGGGTGTGGTGGAGCACAGCTATATTCTCAGCACTGGAGAAGCTGAGGCAGGAGGGTCATTGCAAGTTGAAGGCCAACCTGGGCTAGAGAGTGAGGTCAGGCCCCTCCTGAGCTGTGTAGTGAGACCCTGACTCCAGAAACAAAATGAAACAAAAACACACAATAAAAACCAAATAAATGCTTCCAAGAAGATTAGTTAGTGGTCATATTTGGCTTTTAGTTGCTTAATTGCTAATTGCCCATTTCAGTTTTAACTACCATTGTGAAGAACACTCATATAAAGTGCTGTTTAAGCCCACCTTTTATAGTGGACTGGATAAAGCCTTCTGTTCCATCCGTAGAATATATTAATATATCACTAGCAAAAGGTGTCACACTTGCCCTGCAACTCGGTACCCACAACTTGATATTTTGAATTTTACAGAAAACAGTTGCTAATTGTGAGTCTCTAGTATGTCACAACTCCAAAAAGTCATTCAAGCAGCTGCTTTTTTAGCTATGCTTGAGCTGACTACGGGAGGTCATGTTTTTCTAAGTATAGATACTGAGAAAAAGGCTGGTGCTCACAGAGGAGTGACTTTATGAAGAGGAAGAAATAATTATGTTTAAATAAGAAAATGACACAATGGAGTCTACATAAGCATCTGTAATGCATACATGGAACATTCTAGTGCAAGGATGAATAGTTAATATCGAGGCATAAGTCATAAATTTCCCATATGGATGCAGTATTGACTTAAGGTTAAACCAAGAGGGAAGTGTGATTTTGAGTTTGGTTGCCCCCTTCAGCCATGAAATCTCTGTAAGATATGCTCAGAGCAGAAGGTTTGCTGCCAGAAGCACTTCATAAAACAGGAGACAAAGCCAGTTATACCCATCGGTGAATTTGGGCAGTGCAGCATTTTACTGTAATATCTGTAGGCTGAGGAAATATATCATGGAGAAGGTAAATATTAAAATAATAATCCATAAATTTACACATTACTATAATAAAGAGCAAGCAACTGTGCACACTTAAAGAATAGTATCTATTTACAAATATTTCTCTAAGTCGTAAGAATACTCATTATTTAATATGCAACTATATCTGGAAGAAATTGATCATTCCCACTCAAAGGACTGAAAACTAATAAATTAGCTGCCTCAGACCAGCTCTTCTAGCTCTGATATTCAATAAATATAACATGTACAATGGCTCTCAATTATCTTTGTTTTGATTCATATATTAACATCACACAAAGGTGTTTCCATAATGTCATAAGCAAATCAGTAGTATTTTTTTTGAGAATTGGTAATATTAAATGGTGTATTATTCTTATCTTGAAATGAGCAGTGTATAAAATCTGCACAGTACTTAATGTATTTTACTTGATATTTCAGACAGTTATAATTTTGAAAATAACATACTGACATTTCGTTATGACTTTAGTTATAACTAAAAGAGATTAGTGGATTTGTTATCTGATTAAATCTTGCTAGGGAGAATAAAAAAGTAATTTTATAATTCATATTTATTCTTACAAATGTCGTGTCTCAAAGTTCAACCTGACATCATTATAAATTTATTTTCTAAAATGTTTCTTTAAAAAATTGACAAGGAGAAAAATAACAAAAATCAACTAATATTATGCCAAATATAATGAGAGCTGTAAATAACGTTCCTGATTGCTGAGCAGAAATAATTTCTGTGGTATTTATGAATATTAGCTATACTAATTCAGTTTAATCCACTTATATGAGATTTTCACATCCCTCTGATATAATTGATGTTCTTATGAAATTCCCTTTGGGTTTCACTACTTTAATACAAAGAGAGCTGTGAGGCAGTCAATAATCTCAACCAAATACATGGACCCTCATAGTGATGGAGAAGGTGAAGAGGTATGCAGTTGTCAAAGCATATTTATAAGTCAGTCTGTCTCACTGCTGCAGCTATTATGATATATGAAATAAATCTTGTACTTTATTTTACTTAAAATCCTAAGGAAATGATTTGCCTTATGTGTTATGCAATTTTACAGCAACAGATCTGTAGACATGTTCAGAAATGATAAATATTCTTTGAGTCAAAGGTCAGAATGTTTCAAATAGGGCTCTCCTGAGCAATTTATGGAACAGATTGCTATAAATATCCCATGACACTTTGTGTGGTGTATCATTGTTCTTAGGATTTAGAATTAAATAATGAGCATATGATTATGTTTGCAATCTGTAGCATGATTGATGTTTACTCTCCTTTCTAAAAGGAAATAATGCCTGCTTCCCAAGTCCAAATTACAACCCCTTCACATGGATGTTTTTCCTGGTTTCATGTCCAAACTACACATATGAGGTATGCTATCTGTGTATATAAATAGTTTAAATTGAAGTGCTTACATACTAAATGCATTTATATGTTTTTCTGTACTATAAAATAGTATATGTGATACAAATATATGTTAGTGTCATCTATAGATAAATGTGCAGAGCTGTACATTCAATTCAAGTTACAGGCATAGGAAAGTAGCACAATTTTTTTGAAACTAAAGGAATATATGAACGTAAATGTATTCATATTTAAGAAGGATTTATGCAATGATTCTATAAAACATTTCAAAAGTTTTCAGGAATTTATTTTTCCATCTTTAAAATGGTATTCTGTTTACTTATGAATATGGCATTATTTTATGGAGGTTTAATGACTATTGAGCATAACAATTAAATTATTGTTTTTGAAAGTTTATTTCTACTTATAGCTTTTCTAGTATTTTCATCTTTTAAATATCTACTTAATGTCACAAGTTAAACAATAACTGAAATACTTGTTAATTTTTGTTTTAATTTAACAGATTGGATCATGGATTAGTTTCTCAGTTATGACACAAACACTGCCAGGTAAGGCCTAGGTTTATGACATTTACTCAAACTGAACAGAACTCCAAGCCCTGCTGGGAATTAATTTCTGAGAATAAGTTACTCTACTACTAAGGCACAAGGATTTTATGATTTTATTTTGATTCTAATTTTAGCAGTGTTAAAAACATTAAAGTATCATTTCTATTTACCTCTACATAACTGCTGCTTGATCCAAACAAGGAAACCTAATTCATTAAGCAATAAGATTTGGTTAAATGGAAGTAGTAGCAGATATGTACTTCATATGAATCTCTCTCCTATACGTGTGTGCAGGCATGTGTGTGTTTTGTTAATTACCCAAGAGAACCTGCCAACCTAGATCTAGGGAGCCTGTTTCTAGTGTTCAATACTGGGATACCACAAAATACTTTTAACACACAGTACAAAGCTGAATTACATATGCTGTATGTATTAAAAGGTATAAAAGTTACATTCAGTTCATCTATTAATTGTTCTATTGTATGACAATTCTGAATCATAATTAATGTGGCTTATTGTATATATGTGTGTGTGTGTGTGTGTGTGTGTGTGTGTGTATTCTATGTGTAAGGGATATTACATAAATGTGAAAATTACTGAAATAGTTCAAAAGAATATAAGATTCATTTTTGGAAGCACTTCCTGACAACAGTTTTTGAAAAATGAACATTACTAAGTATTTTAATATTTATTCTCCCACATAATGAATATTCATTGGACATTATGCTAGGCCATAAATATTGGGAAACATGAGAACATATGCCACACTTGAGAAATACTTTAAAATTTAGATACAGAGTGTGCCACTTTCTAATATATCTTGCTTCCATCATATGAATAAAAAATAATTATTTCCTTTCTCTTCTAGTTGGGATTTTTACACTTCTAATGAGTATTCAGATGTCTTTATGGGCAAAAAAGAAACATAAATTTTACCTGAAGAAATTCAACTCATGTATACATAGGAAGTCAGCAATAATTCCATTTTTATTGTAAAAAAATAAGTATTCTAAAATCAAGAAAAGCAATATATAAACTCACTAAATCAAACTTATTGAAGGAGAATTAATTTTCTATTAATTCATGAACAATATTCGTACTATTAATATATGAACTTTCAAATTTTCCAAATTTACAGTAACTAACGTTAAGTAATGAATACTAAAAATGATAAGTACAGAGTCTGCCCAAAATGTATAAAAACTTCAGCTGTTCACTATACTAATAAATGTCTGGAAGCTAAAGGCTACGACTTTGAGCAACACTTAGAGGCCAAAGTAACTTGTATTAGTCTCATGATGTCTCAACAAATTTAGTATTAAAGCATATATATATAAATTTTTCTTTTCCAGGCTGGGGATTTAGCTCAGCGGTTCGGTGGCCTGCCTTGCAAACGCAAGGACACGAGTTCCATCCCCGGTACCAAAAAAACAAACAAACAAACAAAATAAATTTTTCTTTTCCTGATATATACATTTTTAGCAGACTCTGCATAATTAATGAAATATAACAATGTCTAAGAGATTGATGTTTGAAACATTTTACTTCATTAATTTTTCATGAACATTAATTTTCATAAAGCAATTAAAATATGAAGTAAATATTTTTAATGTTATGATCTCAAAATCATTTGCATTTTATAACTATTTAGACAGAAATTTAACTTTTTATTCTTCAATGTATTATTGTGTCAGATTGCATTATTTCAATTTCTTGTAAAAATTTAACTCAAATTAAAAATAAAATTTTCATAAATAGCCAGGTTTCTTATTTATTTATAATATATACAGTGTGCACTATCATTCTGAATTTATCACAATAAAATATTTTAGACATTTGTGATGCTTATTCTTTGTTGTCAACTTGTTTGATAGATACATGAATAAATGATAGAAAGATAGAGGGATAGATTTTTTTTCAAGTGCTCCTTCATATTTATCTTGTACTAATCATTTCCTTGAGATTAGTAGATATACCTTATTTTAGGAATACTTTAACAGGTTTTTTAAAAATCTATTTTTCGTTTTCATTTCTTGGTGGTGTCTCTGCAATAGGTATTACATAAGGAGAGCTTGATAAAATTTTATTACAGTATCTTTGCATTAATATTAATGTTACAAGTATGTTCTCAGCACCCATACATGTCTTTCTTCAAATTCTAAGACTGAGTTTTCATTAACTTTCAGATTTGCTATATTTCAGTACATACACACATATGCATATAATAATGTGAATATATATACATAATTTCTGTGATGTTTCATTTTTTATATATTTCCTCTGATCAAGCTCTTTCTAAACAAGATTATTGTCTCTAACATTTGTTTCAGTTCTCTTCAAATTCTTTATTTTATATATATCCTTGGTTATGTTTTCAAAACAAGGATGGTTTGCAGTCTTATACTTTCTTATGTGCTTATGATGTCTTAATAAATCTATATATTTAGTTATCCTAAAATATTTAATAATATTGAGTAAAACTTTCTAACAGTATAAGAATTACATGAATAACATGTTTGCATTGCAAGTGAACAAGTTTTATATTGCTTCTTTTTTTAATCTTTTTTTTTTTTTTGGTACTGAGGATCAAACTTAAGACCTTGCACTCACCAGGCAGACGCAGTGCCACTGAGCTAAATTCCTGGCTTGTATTACTTCTTATACAAAGCAAATATTTATGAAGAGCTCACATATTTACTTACCCCTGACACTGGCCCATGCCTAGATAAATTAACTTCAGCTCATGAGTTCTAAAACTGAATTTAACACTACATAGATCAGTTATAAATGTCTCACTTATAAATGCATCACTGTGTGTTTGATATCAGGAAGGAAATTAATTACTAGAGATAGTTCAGAAAATTGAGTATGTATAAAGCTAAAGCCAAATGTATTTACTTTATGGTATATATGAGAACTTGATATTATTAATAGAAAACAAAGAAAGCATTGGTGTTAATTTGAGTATATATTCACCAGATAAATCAGCAATGCAACTTTTATCATGGTCTTTGTGGCTCATGACAGGCAGTGGTCTTCAAGAGACACTCTGAAAAGAACACCAAGAAATGCAGGTACTCAGAAATGGGAGTAGTTAGAGAACCAAATATGAGAATACACCTTGAAAGAGAGGCCTGCAAGGTAAATTCCAGTGTCAGATGTAACTGGAAAAAGCAGCAGGGTTGTCTCTGCCTCCTGATACTACTTGTACCCCAGATCTTGTGAACACACCCTCTTAGGATATGATGTCACTCACTGAGGGAGCTGGGTACAGCAGCAGTAGCCAAGCTGTGCTCTTGGTGCCCCAGCTGGCAAATACTGTCCAGTGCCCACAGGCTCTAACACCCTTCTCCCTAGGAGAGGAGACTGGAGAGGAAGATACTTGCACATCAGGGCACTAAAGAAACAGAAAGAGAGAGAACCATTTGGAGAGCAGTGACTAAGATGGGACCTTTGAGAGAGAAAAGAACAGGAAGTAGGCAATCTCCCACCATTATCACCAAACACTGGCAAGCTTTGTATCAGTAGAGTATCTACTAAACCACCAAGTTGAGCACTGCCTACAGAAAGAATAAGAAGCAAGAACGGCAGTCCTTCTGGATCCCCAAGTCTCCAAACCCACTATGAAGCAAGAAAATATATCTTAGGAGAGGAACCAGCTCAAGCACTAGCAGGCATGCCCAACATCCTGTACTCAAACACAGAGAACTGGAGCTCATCTCATATAAATGTTACAAATCCATGATCCTCCATTTGTGAGTACAGAGGATGGCACACGAATCAAATCCTGACTGAGGTACAAAAAAGACTGACAGATCTCTTTTTAAACATGCATATGTGTGTTCATGCATATATGTGTGTGTTTCTTTTTTTCAGAATATATCAATATATAGTATATATTAAATAAATTAAAAATGAACAAGAATTACTTAGAGCTTCAGTTTGACAGCATTTTTCATGGGATTCTCAGGTTAAGCTTCTCCAAAAATTATGTGTAAAGAATTCTAACATAAACTTTCAATCAGCTCATGGTTTCAAACCTTCTTACAGCAAGAATAACACTTCTTACTAAAAGTATAATTTCCAGTTATACTTCCCTTCTGAAAGGAACCAGCGCCTGCCAAAGATCACACTTAACAGAGCTCCTATGATAGATTCTTCTTTTCTCATTGAGTTTATTGGTACATTTTAGGTATACAGTACAGTTACATTCATCATTGGGATCTTGTACCTTTACATGACACGTCATGGTTCTCATTTTTCCCCCTTAGCCCTGTCCTTCCTTCACACCATCTTCCCATCCCTATTTACAAACACTTTATTTCCATTTTTTCATTTTCTCATATATTTTTTTCCCTTATTACCTTTCCTCTACCCTTCCCACTTTCCCTACACCTTTAGCCCTTTTCTTCCTATTTCACATTGTCAATTATACCATTAGGATCTTATGTTCCATTATAGTTTTTCACACCAGAGAAACCATTTGGTATTTATAAATGTGTGACTTATTTATTTTACTTAGGAATATGGCTTCAATATGTATCCATTTTCTTATGAATGACTTTGATTTCTCATTCTTTGTGGCTGAGCAGTACTCCATTTTATAGAAAAATCACGTCTTCTTTATCCAGTCTCCAATTGAGGAGCAAATAGGCTGTTTCCAAGTTTTAGCTATTACAAACTGTGCCACTATAAACATGGGTGAGCATATATCACTGTGATATGACTCTCTTAATTCTTTTGGAAAGATACCCATCTGTGACAAAGGAGCCAACCATACTCACTGAGAGGTTTTATTAAAGAGCCCAGGCAGCATGGCGGCCTGCTCGGTGGAAAGAGAACAAAGGAGAAAGAAGTAGTGGGATAGGGACTTGGTTATATAGTGGGTGACTGGTGTAGGCATGTTGGCGATTATGTCAGCTGCATGGGAAGCCACTCAGGGGCCACTCTTGGATATTTACTGTGACCCATGATGCACGAGGTGGGGAATGGAAACTTTAAGGTGAAGAAGAAAGTTATTTATCAGAATGGTGGCAACCATTCCGAGGCACTTATACCTTCACTTTCTTTTTTACTGTCTTATAATATAGCCTCTCAATCTACTCTCCACCTAACATCTACTGGAGATATAAAAATAATAACTTTCTTATCTTTCTTTGATTGAATATCCTTGGTCTTTTTTTCCTTCTGAACTATTTCCTTTGTATTCCTCTTTATTCCTTGCCTTATCCACCCCAAAGCTGTCCTACTATACATATCATAGTCTTTCAGGCTTATTTAAAAAAAAGGCTGATATTCCTAAAACTGGCATTACATTCCATAATTGATCTGCATTTGATTCTATAGATTTCATATAAATGGTAGTGTTTCTCTCATTGCTAACCAGTGTGACAGGTGCTGATTATGTCCAGTAATTTGAAGAGGTGTATAATACTAAAATATAACGAAAGCCAAATTCAAATCCCACAGAAACATATGCTAATTAAAGAGATTACCCACTATAGCAACAGTGTTTTTCTGCCTTAACTAAGCCTCAGCCATCATCACACATATACAATAATTAGAAACATAATTCCACCAGGCAACAAGATGCTTCCAAACTCTCCAAAAACTGATCTGATGGCAGTGAATTTCAGGCAGTCACAGACAAATAACTCAAAAACAAATGATTATAATGTTGGAACAGATCAAAGTACAAAGAAATAAATCTGTAATATATTCAATCAATTCAAACAAGTTGTAAAACACAAAGGATTTAATTAAAAATGTTCAAAACTTAAAGAAGACAGACAACTGAATTAAAAATATGAAATGTGAATGACCATTTTAGTAAAGAATTAGAGATTATAAAAATAAGTCAAGTAAAAATAAAGAATATAAAAACTCTATGGACACTGGGAATACCAAACGTGAGGAGATAGTGTCAGACCCAGAAGACAAGGATGAGGTAGTAGATCAAGTATTCCCTGATGCCCTAAAATCAATAGGACACCACT